AATAGTAAAAAATTTTTATATGAAAAAAATTGCCAAATATAATACCCGGGTACTAACTTAGATTTTGCCCGTGGAATGTATCGTATCCGGGGTACTATGGTCCGCGCTGTACGGTATATTCGATTCGGATCCGGTAGTGTTCCGCAAAGTGAATTTGAGATTCGAATTAGGATTCGATTCGATGAATCTATTCGAATTCGATTTAGGATTCGACTTAGGATTCGATTCGATTTAGGATTCGATTCGACGAATCTATTCGAATTCGATTTCGGATTCGATTCGACGAATCTAATTCCGGTTTATTACTAAAATTCACCAATGCTAAGCTATACACATTTGATTTCTTTCCATTTGCGTAAAATGGTTTCGCCTATATTTAATATAACATGAATGCGTTTATTTTTTATTCTTTATTTGATATATTATTTAAATGCGCCCACATATATGGGGTCTTTGCAAATAGCTAACTACCCCAGTATCGCCACCAAAAAGTTACAATCACGTGATATTTTTGTGGCGCAAGCTAATCAAATTTCAAGATCAGGTATAAAGTAGCACGATCAGGAAAATTCAAAACAAACGTTCGTTTTGACAAAAATCGCTTATAACTCGAAAATCTTTATATGAAATCACCTTTGGTGCATCAATAAAAAGTTTTTCTTGGACGATTTTACCATATGCCATGCTAATCTCTAACTTTATCATAAGCACTAACCCCAATTTAAATGAACTTAACAATTTTTTGGTGCGCCCAGGGACTGGAAAATTTTTGGATCCAAATCAATCCAAATTTTTCCAAATTTTTTAATGTTAGCCAAATTTTTCCAAATTTTCGAGTAATTTGATTTTATGGATCCTGATTGGTTAGGATTTTGATCTAAAAAATATCGTACAAAATTTTCAAAAGAGCAAACTTTCACAAGCTAAGAAATGAAGCACTAAAACGCAAGAAAAGAAATAAGAGAAACAACCCAGCAAAATCACAAAGCACAATTTAAAAAAAATGCCACCAACAAAGAAGGTGACAGCTTTTTCGCATGCTCAGAAGTTTCCTGAAGATTTTGTAGTAGATTCCACCAAGCTGATGTGTTGCTTTTGTGGACGCAGTGTTAATTATGAGAATAAAGCATATGTAACTTCCCATTTAAATTCAAAAATGTATAAAAAAATCGGGAAACTTATCTTAATAATAATCAAAGCACCCGACAACAAACTCTTTCTTCCGCAATGAAAATTGCTAACATAAAGAGAGAAATGGTCTATGATTTGCTTGAAGCCTGGGTTGGTGCCGATATCCTACTAGAAAAATTTGATAAGTTTCGTGGGTTTTTAGTTAAATATTGTCGTGAAGGTGGTATTATTCCAGGTTCAAGTGCATTGAGAAAACAGTATTTGACGAAAGTATTTCATAAGCATGTAGAAAAACTTCGTGATGAATTTGTAGGAAAACCTGTTGCCATAATTATCGATGAGATTACTGACAGCTGTGCTTGTAGTGTCATTAATATTCTATTCAGTTATAAGAGAAAGTCAAAGTTAGTTTTGGTAGAATTCTTACAAGAAGTCAATAATACCAGTATTGGTCAACTTATTTTACGAATTTTAGTAGAATGGTCTATTCCTTTAACTTCTCCATGGCTTATAATATCAGA